CTTCAGCAAATGGTGCTGGGAGAACTGGATATCAATATGCAGAAGAATGAAACTAGACCCACACCTTTCACCATATAATAAAATCAGCTCAAAATGGATTAAAGAATTAAATATATACCCTGAAACAATAAAACTACTCAAAGAAAACACAGAAGAAACACTTCAGGAAGTAGGACTGGGCACAGACTTCATGAATATGACCCCAAAAGCCCCGGCAACCAAAGGAAAAATAAACAGATGGGATTATATCAAACTAAAAAGCTTCTGCACAGCAAAAGAAACAATTAACAGAGTTAAAAGACAACCAACAGAGTGGGAGAAAATATTTGCAAAATATACATCTGACAAAGGATTAATATCCAGAATACACAAGGAACTGAAACAACTTTACAAGAAAAAAACAAGCAACCCAACTTTAAAAATGGGCAAAAGACCTAAATACTCATTTCTCAAAGGAAGATATATGAATCAGCATTTGTTATTCTCACTATTTTTAATTATAGCCAGTCTAACTGAGGTAAAATGATATCTCAGTGTTGTTTAAAGTTGCGTTTCTTTTGGTTGCCTGTGCTTTTCGGGTCGGATTCATGAAGTCTGTGCCCAGTCCTACTATTTTTTCAGGGTGAATATTTAATTCTTTAATCCATTTTGAGTTGATTTTAGTATATGGTGAGAGGTATGGGTCTACTTTCATTCTCCTGCATATGGTTATACAGTTCTCCCAGCACCATTTGCTGAAGAGGCAGACTCTTCCCCAGTGAATAGGCTTGGTGCCTTTGTCAAAGATCAGATGGCTGTAGGTGTGTGGGTTGATTTCTGGATTCTCTATTCTATTCCATTAATCAGTGTATCTGCTTTTATGCCAGTACCATGCTGTTTTGGTTATTATACCTTTGTAGTACAGTTTAAAGTCAGGTAGTGTTATGCCTCCAACTTTATTTTTTTTGCTCAGAATTGCTTTGGCTATGCATGGTCTTTTGTTATTCTACATAAATATCTGGATAGTTTTTTTCCATTTCTGAGAAAAATGTCATTGGAATTTTGATGGGGATTGTATTGAATTTGTATATCACTTTGGGTAGTATGGATATTTTCACAATGTTGATTCTTCCAGTCCAAGAGCATGGGATATTTTTCCATCTTCTTGTCTCCTCTTTAATTTACTCTGCTATAAAAAAGAATGAAATACTGCCATTTGCAACAACATGGATGGACCTAGAGAGAATTATATTAAGTGAAATGAGTCAGGCACAGAAAGAGAAATATCACATGTTCTCACTTATTTGTGGGAGCTAAAAATAAATAAATAAATACACAAACAACCTGATGGCGGGGGAGGGAAGAAGACACAACAATTACAATTCCTTGAATACAACAAGTGAACAGAAAGAAGTTTTTTGGGGGGGGGAGGTTTCGGTAATGGGCCACAATAATCAACCACACTGTGTATTAACAAAATAAAATAAAACTAAAAAATAAATAAATAAAATAAAACAAATAAATAAAATTTAAAAAAACAAAAGATTTCATTTAAAAAAAGAGAGAGAATATAAAAGAAATAACGCTAGCAATTTTTCAAAAGAAAAGAGCCCAGCAAATGGGCAAACATAAAAAGACTACATCAGGGCACAGCAACAAGAAATTTCAAAATGCCAGGAGTAAAAAGAAGATCCAGTAAATTCCCAAGGAACAGAGAAACAGGCCACATACAAAGATACAAGAATCAGAATGACTGTTGCTGTCTCAATAGCAACATAGGGAGCTGGAAAACAATGTTTGAATGCCTTGAAATTCCTGGGAAAACTATTTCATTCATTCATTTAACAAATATTGATTGCCTACTGTGTGTCAGGTGCTAATCTGGGCACTGGGGAAACAGCTGTTAACAAAAACCAAAAACACACCCAATGATGGAACTTAGTTTTGAGTGTGGGAAGAAGACAAATAGAAAAATAAATTCTATGTATGTGTCATGTGATAGTGAAAAGAGAAAATGAGAAAAAAAAAAGCAGAGTAAGTGGGATAGAGGTTGCTAAGGGTGTTATTTATACAGATTGAACAGGGAAGGCCTCTTGGTATCAGGCAGAGCCCCGCAGGGAACAGCCTCTCACACAGGGTAACTGGGGAGAGTTTTGAGTGAGGCACAGTTTAGGAAACCAATTGGGGATGGTGAGATACCCTGGGACTAGCAACAGGCCTGAGAAGCAAAAGAGGAAATACAGAGGGGACTGGAATGTGCAAGAGGGTACCAGAGAGGTGCTGTGGCCTCTGGAGAGATACAGGTAACGGCCCCATCAGGGGTGGTCCCAGGAATGAATGCCCAGACCTACCCTCCTCTCACCCTCCAGCTTCTGCTGGAGACTCCCACTGGCTGTTGAATGGGAAACCAGAGGGTGAGAGCACCTGTGGATGGAGTCCACCAAGGCCAGTTTCCAAAGGCACATAGCAGGGTGGAGAAGAGTTGGAAGGTGCGGTGGATCTGGAGAAGCCAGCAGAAAGATCCAGCCCAGACACAGGTCTGTAAGAAGTGAGAGAGAGGCTGGGAGAAGGTTCCAGTCAAGTAGGACAAGTGTAGCTGAAGCAAAATGAAGGGGCAGAGGGTGGTAGGAGGCGACGTGAGAGCAGGCAGTGGGCCAGATCTTGTGTGGCTTTGAGAGCCAAGAAAAAACTTTCACTTTCCCTCTGAGTGTGATGGGAGCTAGTGACAGTTTCCTGCATGGAGATTAAGACTACAGATGGGCAAGCTCAGAAGCTGGGAGACCCGTGAGAGATGATGTGGCTTGCTTTAGGGTGAGGACTGTGCAGGAGATGAGAGGTGGTTGATGTGGTTATGATATCAAGACAGAGCAGACAGGATTTGCATATCGATTGGATGTGGGGTATGAGAAAGAGAAAACAGTGCAGGGTGAATGACTCCGAGGCCCTTAGCCTGAGCATCTTGAAGGATGGAGCTGCCATTCACGGAGGGGGGAGGGGAAATGGGGAGCAACAGGTTTGGGAGGAAATCGAGAGTTCTGTTTTGGACATCTTTTTTTTTTTTTTCCTTTTTGTCTTTTTTCGTGACCGGCAACGGGATCGCAACCCTCGGTGTCGCGCCTGCACCGCGCTCAACCAGTGAGCAGACCGGTCTCTATATGGGATCCGAACCCTCGGCAGGAGCACCACCACACTCCCAAGCGCTGCACTCTGCCGAGTGCGCCACCGGGCCGGCCCCTGTTTTGGACATCTTAAGTTTGAGACATTACTTGAGAGTTGCCTAGTGCGCCACCGGGCCGGCCCCTGTTTTGGACATCTTAAGTTTGAGACATTACTTGAGAGTTTCTCTTTCCTACACACTTGCCCAAACTGGGTATCTTCCTACACTCAGATCAATTTTTAAAATGACTTCTGTTAATCTGCATTTTTAAAACTTATGAATGAATATGAGAAATATGGTTATGGTATAACTTCATGATGTGAATTAGAGTTGCAGAATTTTCCATATTTCTCTATGTTCTGAAACCTCTATCTGGGAATTATCTGTCCCTTAAATTTTTACAAGAACTTATCTAGAAAACCTGCTGAGCTTTATGAAAGGTAGTTCTTTAAGAGCATTCTCAAGGTCTTCTTCGTCCACTGATCAGTTAAAGTTTTCTACTTCTTCAATCAGTTTTTTAAAAATGTTTGTTTCAAAAACTCATCAATTTTACAGACATTTTTAAGTTTATCAACCTATAATTTGAGCATACGCTTATTTATGATTTCAACAGACTCTTTTTTGCTATTAGATTTGCCAGACTGCTCTATTTTCCTGTTTGTTTCTCCCTTAAATAACCAATTCCCACATTTATTACTCCTATTACTGTTTCCTAATAAATTTATTCCTACTCAGGTTTTTATTACTTTTTTCCTCTGAAGAAAGGAAGGCTGTTTCCTCTCTGTTCCTCTCTGTTTTTGGTACTTTTTTCTTTGGAATTGAATATTTCATTCATCTTTTAAACTTCTTCCCATTTTAAATAATAAAAGCATTTAATGCTATGAATTCAGCTAAGAGTGTGGCTTTAGTCATATACCAGTGTTTTTCAAAATATGTATTACAAAGATCTTCATTTTCTAAATAGCATGTTATATATTTTTTAAATAATTTTTAAAAATTTTTTAATTCTCAATTCATAGATAATAGTTACCCTTTTATTAATTTCCAATAAGAGTAGACAAAGAATTTGGTCCACATAACCTGAAGATTTTATTGGGCTGTGATTTTCTTTTCTATTGCTGAGTATTGTGTCAACTTTTTAATGTTGCATAAAACATCTACAAAGAAGGCACAATCTATAGGACCTAAAAGTCAATATGTATTAATTTAACCTTAAAAACGTATTTTCAATATATACTAGGTGCTTTACAGATGTTTTCTCACTTATTGAAGCAATTCTGTACAAGGACAACCATTTATTCTTCTACTCCTGTGAGGTATCTAGAGTAGTCAAATTAATAGAGATGGAAAGTAGATGTTGGTTGACAGGAACTAAGGGGACAGAAGAACGGGGAGTTGTTGTTTAATTGGTACTGAGTTTCCATTCAAGAAGATGAAAAATTTCCGGAGTTGGATTGGGGTGACAGTTGCACAGAAATGTGAATATTCTTAATGCCACTGAACTGTATACTTAAATATGGTTTAAATGATATGTTTTTTGTTACGTATATTTACAGCAACACAAAAAATTTCTTTAACCCTGTGATTTAGTTATCCCTAATTTGTAAGTGATTAAATGAGGTTCTGAGGTCACTCTGCTGCTAAGTGGTGTAGAGGCAGGATTTAAACCGGGTCATCTGGATACTAAGCCTTTAGCATTTCACTTTGTCCCTCTCCTCCCTGTGTGAGCTCTGAGAGCTGCTTCCTCACCCCCAATATTCCCTCAAACCGGGGAACAGGATGCAGCACTTTCACAGATCCCCCCACTCCTGCAGAGGAGATTCTGCTTATTTCTTGTCTCTCCCCAGACACCAAGACCACCACGCAGAGCCCCACCAAGGTAGGCTCCACAGCCACCTCAGCCAACGCAGCCACCAAAGCTGGCTTCAGGGTCACAGACAACAAAAGAAACTCAGAGTCTCCGCCCCTGAGTCTGGGAACTGCAGTCGGAGTGCCAGTGGCCGCTGCTGTGCTTATAACTGTGATTTTGGGATTGATAGTCTTCCTTAGGCGGAAGAGAAGGAAAGGTGAGTAGTTTGGACCCAACCTCCCCCCGCACTTCCAGACTGGGGTATTCTCAGAATCCACCTGGCATCAGAATCACCAAAGGTGCAAGATCCCTGCTGGGTTCCCCTCAAACCCACTGAGTCAGACTCTGAGGTCTGTGCTGGGGAATCTACATTTTTAAAAGGCTCGTCGAGTGGGGGTTGAGCAGGATGAAGTTTGAGAATCACCAATCCCTCTCCACAAAATCTTGTCACTTTCCACTTCTGCTATCTTGACCTAGTTATCTCTCACCAATCCTTACCTTTTGGATCATGAGGAGGGGAGGGCCTGCCCTGGGAGAAGTACAGAGAGAGCAGAAGGGGCAGGAAGGGGGCTCAGCTCAGCAAGCATTGGCCAACTGCCCACAGCCAGGGCCTGGATTGAAATTGGAAGTACAAAAGTAGCTAACGCACAGACTCTGCTTTTCAAGGAACTCAGTTGGGGTAGGGGAAGTTGCCTCAAGGGCTAATTGTTTCATGAGAGAGGCAGCACTTGACAAGGTTGGGAGGAATAAGAGGTAATCAAGGAAGACTTCCCAGAAGAGGTGACATGTACAAAAAGTCTCAAGGAATTAGAAGAGTGAGCCAGGTCTCACCAAGTGAGGTGCTGTAGTGGTCACTCACTAGCCTTCCAGGTGGAGGAAACCATTCTGGGAACTGCAGAAGGTTCAGTGCTTGTCCAGGAGGCAGGTGATGAGAGAAGAGAACTTGTACACCACACCCAGGGGCCTCTGGTCCTAGAGGCAGCAGAGAGTTGCAACCTCAGCGCCCTGTTACACACACTTCAGCCTGCAGTGGAGGGGCTGGAGGTGGCCAGGCTGGGTCAGTCTGATGCACATGGAGCAGAAGGGCCAGAGCCAAGGAAAGCTTAAGTGGTAAAACCAGTAAGACTTGATAGTTACATCGATGTAACGGTGAGGGGGCAGCATAAGCTCATGCTTCAATGTGGGTGAAGGAGGCTGTGATGAAACCACCAAGTAAATTAGGGCATAGAGGAGGAAGACCATGTCTGGGGGGAAAGATGATCTGTTTCATCTGGGATATGTTATATCTGAGATACCTGTGTGGCATCTGAGCAGAATCATCCATCAGAAACTTGGATGTGTGTATTTACAGCTGAAAGGTGAGTACAGGGCTAGAGACATTAATTAGTTATTCCCCAACATCCTCCAAAATGCATTTGAAATTACTTGAAAGAAAATTTGCAATGAGAAGAGATTGGCCCTACCAGATGTTAAAGCACAGAAGAACACCGAGTCCAGACGGCCTGCATCAAATCCTGGTTGCACAGCCTAGCTAGGGAAACTTTGGCAGAATGGTACAAACGCTGTGTGCCTCAGTTTTCTCATGGATAACATGGGGATGATAATAGTACGTATGTGGGGTTGTCCTGATGATTAAATGTAATGCATTTAGAACAGATCCTAGCACAGAGTGTGTACTACAGGAGCACTAGCACTTATAATTATTAAGCTATGGTAATTAAAACGATGCAATACTGGAATATTAATCCACAGATAAGCCAATGGAAGAGGAGAGAAAAACCCAAATATAGCAGGATAAAATCAGACCAAATATATGTAAAAATTTGGAGGTTAACAAGTAGCATTTCCGAGGTTCCCGTGAAGATGGTGGAATAGACGGTTCCCAGCGTCACTCTCTCCCACAAATCAACTAATTTACAACTATAAAGATGTAACATCAGCCAAGCTGGGGCCGCTGGAGCTCTGGGGAAGAGGAGGAGAGACCTACAGAGTTCATGAAGGCAGGAGAAGCCATGACGAGAGAAAGAAAAAGCTGCTCTGAGCATTTCAGGCACGGCTGCTTTAAGGCTGGAACTGCTGAGCGCATGGAGCAGGAGCCGGCAGAAGCTGCAACTATGCCCTTCAGATGGAGTTACGTGGAGGCAGCAGGAGAGAAGAGGGCCTTGGCAGCCCCCAGGACAGCAAGACCATGAATAGGTTTCCCATGGACCCAAGCAGGAGTGAGGAGCCAGAACAACTGAAGAAAGGGAGCCACTCAGAGACCGGTGAGTCATTGCAAGGGACCGGTGCAGGACCTGTCCCATGGGAAGTGTTTGCAGCATGGGTGGTGGGGGAGATGGAAACACCAGAGAACACTGGGGCACAGCAAAGACAAATGACATGCCCCCAATCAGCACAGGACCACTCAGAGGAGAATGGTCAGGAATGCAGAATTGCATGGGGTGCTTTTTGATGAAAAAACTCAGGCCCAGATCAGTTTCTACACAACACAGATCCACTGTGTCTCTGGGGAGCTGGAAGTACCTATAAGGTCAACCATTAAAACCTGAGCTGCACAAAAAGCCTTCCCTAGGGAAACAGCAGCAAAGCAGCAATTTAAACAACCACACAGCTCAAATACTGGTTCCCATAGGCAGTTCCCCCCGTGTTAGAAGCAAAGGACAAAAATTTAGTTCCAGCCCAGGCACACCACCAGCACCTTGGGGCCTTCCTGGGAATCGGAGGCTTGGCCGGGAACCGGACCCCACTCCCACTTCCAGGCAAACTGTGCCAGCACCTCAGGGCCAGCCTGGGGACCCGAGGCATGGAGAAGGGGACTGGACCCCCCTCCCACAACCAGGCACACCATGCCAGCACCTTGGGGCCTGCCCAGTGACCCGAAGTGTGGAGTCAGGGACCAGACCCTCCTCCCACAACCAGGCACACCATGCCAGCACCTTGGGGCCAGCCCATGGACCCAGGACATGGAGAAAGGGACCAGACCTCTCTCCCACAACCAGGCACACCAAGCCAGCACCTCAGGGCCCACCCATGGACCCAGGGCATGGAGAAGGGGACCAGAACTCTCTCCCACAACCAGGCACACCAGGCCAGTGCCTCACGGCCCGCCTGGTGACCCAAGGCATGGAGAAGGGGACTGGACCTCTCTCCCACAACCAGGCACACCACACCAGTGCCTCAGGACCCACTCAGGGACCAGGAGCATGGAGAAGGAGACCAGACCGCCCTCCCTCAACCAGGCACACTGCGCCAGCACCTCGGGGCCTGCCCAGGGACCTGGGGCATGGAGAAGGGGACTGGACCGCCCTCCTCCAACCAGGCACACCGAGCCAGCTCCTTGGGTCTCACCAGTGACCCAAGGCATGGGGAAGGGGACCAGACACACCTCCCACAGCCAGGCACAGGGTGCCAGCACCTTGGGGCCTGCCTAGAGACCAGAAGCATGGAGAAGGAGACCAGACACACCCCACAATCAGGCATACTGCCAGTGCCAAGGAGCATACAAAAAACAACACCTCCATGTGGATGGCCCACCACAGCCTCCACAATAACCATGGCTGCCGCAAAAGTGACTAGACACCACAACCACCATGCAGATCACTGGAGTGCATTGACACAAGGAGAGTCACCAGCAGAGACAAAGAAAAGAAGAGGATGTCTCTTTCCACAAAGCGCATTTCAGAATGACAGAAGAAGCATCTGCTCTATGATAATGTTGGGGACCTGAACACACCTCTCAGCATTGGACAGATCATCTAGGCAACAAATTAACAAAGTAACCATTATTCTTTCAGAAGGAGAGAAGAAATCTAGGGTAATTAGAGGGGGGGAGTAGCGGGGGATGGGGAGAGATTGGACAAGGGGCATAAAGAATAATTATGACTTGTAACACTATATATGCTAGTAATATTGATTTGATCAACATATCTCAATGTTCAACCCCAAAAATATGTATAATTGATTTTGATTCAATAAATAAAATAAAATTTTAAAAAAATAGGTAGCATTTCTAATCAATGGAGAAAGCTGGTTAATTCTTAAATGGTGCTAGAACTATTAGGTAGGTATCTGAGAACTAATGTCATCTCTCTACCTCATAATTTGCACCAAAATAAATTCCATGGAGATCAAAGATTTAAATGAGGAAAAGAATACCCCTAATACTAGAAGAAAATATTAAGAGACTATTTTATAACCATAGAGTGAAGACAATACCCCTAAGTGTGACAAAACCCAAGAGCCATGAATAAAAATATTGATCAATTCAACTACATTAAAAAATTTTTGTATAATTCTTCAGATCAAAAACCACAGTGGTTGCATCTTGAGAATGAAGAAGAGGGTCAGGGAATTATAGTGAAAAAGTTTGACATTGTCACAGAGGAAAGGGGAGATGGTGTTTGAGGATTCAACCCAAATAAGAAACCATAATTCTGTAAAAGCATCCTGGTACATGATTGTGTTTTTCCCCTGCAGTAGTCAGCTATCTAGGTTTAAAAACCTTAAGGACTTATATTGGCTAGGAATTGTGTTCAGCTGCTAGCCCCAGAGGTGAGAAGTAACAGTGGCCTAAATAAAACATGTTGTGTTTTGTTTTGGTTTTTTTTTTTTTTTCTTCTCTTATAAAAGGATCTGGAGGCAGACAACAGAGGCCACTGTCCTCAGGAGCTCAGGCTCCTAACCTCAGATCCACTGTCTGTTTGGCTCCTACCTGAAGGTGGCCTCATGGTCCAAAGTGGCTGCTAGGACTCCAACCATTATTTGTGGGTTCCTTGTAGAAAACAGGAGGAAAGAAGAAAGGACAAAAAGTATTATTCCACAACTCTCTCTCACCCTTTTAAAGAGCGCTCCTGAAAATCTTAACCACAGCTTCTGCTTATTTCTTATCAGCAAAAATTTAGTCATATGTCCCACAGCTATCTGTAGGGAAGCACACTGTCACTCCAAATAAAATCAACTGTGTAATAAGGATTGAATGGATACTGGGTAAGCAAATAGCATTCCCTGCCATAGCACACATCCAGGACTGGGAGATTTGCCAGCTAAGTGTGGCAATAAGACAGGAGATCACAGGAGGTCAAGGAACTAGAGAATAAGCATAAACGGAGAATAGAGTGATTATCAGGGACCTTGAACAACCTAAAAAAAGAGGATTATTGAGAAACAAGAGTTCAATAAAGTCAAAGAACAGGTACAGTGGGAAAATAACAAAAGAGAGTTGGAACACTTTGAAGTTCATTTTATGAGGTCTACATTACCCTGATACCAAAACCAGGTAAAGACACTACACACACACATACAAACAAACTTCAGACCAATATCCCTAATGAATATTGTTGCAAAAATCTTCAACAAAATACTAGCAAATCAAATTCAACAGCACATTGAAGGATTATATATCATGACCAAGTGGGATTTACTCCTGGAATGCAAGGATGGCACAACACACAAAAATCAATCAATGTAGGGCCGACCCCATGGTGCACTCGGGAGAGTGCGGCGCTGGGAGCACAGCAGCACTTCCTGCCGCGGGTTTGGATCCTATATAGGGATGGCCGGTTTGCTGGTTTGCTCACTGGCTGAGCGCCGGTGCAGCCGGTTACAAAAAAAGACAAAAAAAAAAAAAAATCAATCAATGTAATGCACCACATTAACAGGATAAAAGACAAAACCACATGACAATCTCAATTGATGCAGAAAAAGCACTGGACAAGATTTAACACTCTTTCATAATGAAAAAACTCAACAAAACAGGAATAGAAGGAAACTATTTCAACATAATATAGGCCACTTATGAAAAGCCCACAGGTAACATTACTCAATCATGAAAGACTGAATGCTTTTCCTCTAAGATCAGGAACAAGGCAAGAAGGCCCACTCTCACTACTTTTATTCAACATCATATTGGAAGCCTTAGCCAGAGCAATTAGGCAAGAATAGAATATAAAAGCCATCTAAATTAGAATGGGAGAAGTAAAATTATCTGTTTGCAGGTGATGCAATCTTATATGTAGAAAACCCTAACTATTCCAAAAAAAATGTTTTAGAACTAATGAACTGAGCAAAGTTGCAGGATATAAAATCAACACACAAAAATGAATTGCATTTCTATAGTCTAACAATGTTCAATCTGAAAAGGAAATCAAGAAAAGAATTCCATTTACATCAGCAACAGAAAATAAATAAATACTCAAGAATGAATCTAACCAAGAAGGTGAAAGACTTTTGCATGGAAAAATACGAAACATTGCTGAAAGAAATTAAAGACATGAATAAATGGAAAAGACATCCCATGCTCACGGACTGAAAGAATTAATATTATTAAGATGTGCATACTGCCCAGAATGATCTACAGATCCATTGCAATCTCTATCAAAATCCCAACAACATTTTTTACAGAAATAGAAAAATTCATCACAGAGTACAAGTGCAATCTCAAGGGACACCAAGGAGACAAAACAATCCTGAGAAGGAAGAACAAAGTTGGAGGACTCACATTTACTGATTTCAAAACATATTACAAAGCTACAGTAATCAAAACAGTGTGGTGCTGGCATAAAGACAGGTAAATAAACTTACAGAATAGATTAAGAGCCCAGAAATAAACCCTTGTGTATATGGTCAAATGATTTTTGATGAAAGTTCCTAGAGCACTTAATGGGGAAAGGACAGTCTCTTCAACAAATAGTGTTGAAAAAACTGAATATCCCCATGGCAAAAATGAAGTTGGGTCCTTATCTTAAACCACATCCAGAAATTAACTCAAAATGGATTAAAGACCTACATGTAAGACCCAAAACCATAAAACTTCAAAAGAAAGCATAGAGAAAAGCCTTACAACATTGTACCTGGCAATAATTTCTTGGATATGACAATAAAAGCACATGCCACAAAAATAAATAAATAAATAAACAAATAAGACTACATCAAACTTAAACACTTTTGTTTACCAAAGGATACAATCAACAAAATGAAAAAGCAATCTATGGAATGCGAGAAATTTTCCAAATCATGTATCTGATAAAGTGTTAATATTTAGAATACATAAAAACTTCTATAACTCAACAACAAAAAATCAACCTGATTGAAGAATGGGCAAAGGATTTTAACAAACATTTCTCCAAAGGTGATGTTTACTATGGCATGAACGTATCCCCCAAAATTCGTGTGTTGGAAATTTAATCCCCAATGCAACAGTGTTGGGAGGTGGGGTCTTTTGGGAGGTGTCATGAGATCTCTACCATGTAAATGGATTAATGCCATTATTAAAAGGCTGTGCAGGAGTGAGTTTGCTCCTTCTGCTCTTCTGCCATGTGAAGAAACAGCATTCCTCTCCTCCAGAAGATGCAGCAAGAAGGCCCTCAGCAGACACCAGAAGCTGGCACTTTGATCTTGAACTTCCCAGTCTTCAGAACTGTGAGAAAGAAATTTCTGTTCTTTTTAAATTAACCAGCCTCTGGTATTCTGTTATAGCAGCACAAAACAGACTAAGACAATGTACAAATGGCCACCAATCATATGAACAGATGTTCCACATCACTAATAATCAGAGAAATGCGAATCAAAACCACAGTGAGATATCACCTCACACCCATGATAGCTATTATTAAAAAACAAATGAAAAGAGAAAAGAACAAGTGTTGGCAAAGATGTGAAGAAATTGGAACCTTTGTGCAATTATAGGTTAAAATGTTAAATGGTGTGAACACTATGGGAAAAAAATATGGCCTTACTTCAAAAAATTAAAAGTAGAACTACATTTTGATCCAGCAATCCCACTTCTGGTGTATACAAAAAGAATTGCAAACAGGACCTTGAAGAGATATTTGTACATCCATATTCATAGAAGTATTGTTCACCACACTCAAGAGTCAGAAGCAACCCAAATGTCCATCAGTGAATGAATAGACTGACAAAATGTGGTTTATATACATAATGGAATATTATTCAGCCTTTAAAAAAGGAAATTCTGACACACGCTCCATGATGGATGAAACTTTGAGGACATTATGGTAAGTGAAATAAGCCAGTGACAAAAAGACAAATATGGCACAATTCCACTTATGTGAAATACCTAGAGTAGTACAATTAATAGAAACAGAGAGTAGAATGGCATTCTTAGAAGTTTGTGGAAGCCGGGGAATAGGGAGAAGTTTTTAAAGAGTACAGAGTTTCAGTTTTGCAAGATGAAAAAGTTCTGGAGATCTGTTTCCCAGCAGTGTGAAAATACTTAACATTCTGAACTATACACTTAGAAATTATTAAAATGGTAAATTCCGTGTGGTTTTTCCCCCGACAATTTAAATAAATAGGACCTACTTAAGTTTCAGAGAGAAAGAGAACTGTACAGAAACAAAGTTGCAGCATAAAAATGACATCACCATTTAATATTTCAGAGTTCCCAGTCCCAGTTGTTTAAAAAAATAATAATTCCAGGGTATGGGTGAGTGTGGTGGAAGTGTAGGTCTCTGCACTCGGGGGAGCGGTGTGTCCTGTGTTCAGAGGGTGTCTCTGGGGACAATGAGCCCTCCCAGGATGACGGTGGATGGTGGAGAGGATGTCTGGGAACCAGGGGTCAAATCCTGGGGAAATGCTGCAGACAGACCTTGAGGTGGAGAGGCAGGGAAGAGGGTGACAGGGTGGACAGCAGAGGTTTCAGTAGGAGAGGACCAGCAAGAGCTGGAAGAGGAACGGTCCAGCGGTGGTGACAAGGGAAATCTAAACGACTGCAAACACTTACTCCAACCACGAGGTTCCCAGGGTGCAGGAGCAGAAATAGGGGCCACCTGGAAGGCAGCACAAGAAGCTGTTTTGTGAGGGTCCGGAGAGAGTGGGGAATGACAAGGGAAATCTAAACGACTGCAAACACTTACTCCAACCACGAGGTTCCCAGGGTGCAGGAGCAGAAATAGGGGGCCACCTGGAAGGCAGCACAAGAAGCTGTTTTGTGAGGGTCCGGAGAGAGTGGGGAATGTGTATCCAGAGAGAGGAAGGGGACAGGCGGGCAGGTGGGCTGGGCTCAGTAGTGGAAGGTGCCAGGTTGGGGGAGAAGTGGGAGAGGTCAAGGAAGAGAGAAGGAAGCAAAGGGAGAGAGAGTAGGGGTGAAGCGGGCATGGGGCCAAGAAGAGCTTGTTTCAGGATTTGCTGTTGAGGACAACAGGGAGGACAGGTGTGGGCCAGATTCAGGGTGCTGGCTTGGGGCCGCCCAAGCCCCAGGCCCTTCCTGACAGGTTTGGACAGAGCTGCTCTGCTGCTCTGGCTCCCTGAGGATGGTCCCAACATAGGACACAGCAGAGAAGGCAGGAGGGAGAATTGCCACCTCCTGGATGTCACACTGACATGCTGTTGGTCCTCCCACAGGTCGGCACACTAAAGCCACAACCCCAACCTGGTGAGTGCTTGTCCTTCCAAGGGGTATGGGGGTGGCTGGTTTGAGAAATGGGGAGTGTCCTCATGAGAACCTGCAGCCCAGCCTTTCACAGCCACATGGCTTCCCGACCTGGCCAGTCCAGTCCTCCGGCGTCCTCTACAGCCCAGGCTTCTCGACTCCTCTGGCTCCATCCCCTAAAAACGACAATGGTGGACTCAGGCTCCTGCACGAACTTCTAGACAATGTCTTTTCCAGAATGTCTCCCCCGCATCTCTCTCCCTCCTAGGCTCTTTCCTCCTTTTGTGCTTGTCCTTCTGTCCATCCTATTTCCTCTCAGCTTTGAACTTCTTCCCTGACACATCCAGCTCTTCCATATTTTCTCCTCTTCTTTCTTGCTCTCTGTCCAACCTGCCCTTGTCCCCTGGTCAATGCACCAGGACGCCACAAGGCCTCCTGTGCCTCCAGCTCCTGCCTGCGCCTGTCTTTCCTCAGCAGCCCTGTTGCAGCCTCCACCTCCCCCTCTGCTGCCGGCCCTGCCTCTCCTTCCTCTCCTCAGCTCTCCTCTGCACCTCCCCACTCTCTCTCTCCTGCCCTTTCCGCCATGACCACGCTTTGCCTGCTCAAAGCCTCCCTCCCTGCTTTCTCTCCCTGCCCATCTGCTGCCAGCTGCCCTTCCTCCAGTCCCGCCCCAGGACATCCTCCCCTTCCAGAGACCAAGCCTGAGCACCTGCCCAGAGGACCTGAAATTCATTTCATTGGTTTTCTTCTCCGGCTTTAGTCCAGGCAGTGCCAGCAGAGAGCACAGGGGCTGACCCCTCCTATGTCTCCTGTCTGTGTCCCCCTCCAATACAGGCAGCTCCCCTCAACAGTTCACCTGCAGTTAGCCCTGAGGGACCCCTGCTGGACCACACCACAAACTGCCTCGACTTCCTCTTCCAGGCAGCCTCCTTCTGAGAGCCTAGAACCATCACATCCATCTTCAGTTTGTCAGGACATGTTGCAGAGCACCCCTCAGAGACAACCACCCCCACCTCACAGGCCGCAACTCCTTACTGCCCAGCCTCTAATATATTTCCCATCCTCCCCCTCCACTACAGGGAACCCTTCCAAAACACTAAGGAGAAATGTGAGAATATTGGGACTGAAGGTAAGTCCTTTAATTTGATTCCCAGTTTCCACCTTTGGCCCTTTCTGTTTCCCCAAACACCCCCTACCTACCTATGTGCCCCTCTCAGTATTTTCCTCTTTCCCAGTCCTCACCCCATCCCTCCCACGTGCCCTGGCCCTGACCTTGCACATAACCTCATTACTGCAGTCCCTGCCCACCTTCTGCCCTGGCTGTCCCACCACCTGACCTCAGCTCCGTTGGTTTTTTTCCTAGGAAAACATGCAGGCCCCGAGCTGGAACCCACGGTAAGGCGCTCAGAGTAGGGCCTGAAGGAATTAAAGGGAAGCCTGGAGAAGGTGGGATGGAAGGAATGGAGAGACTGTGGTATGGGCAGGGCACCCAGGTTGCAGGATCACTGGTTTAAGACTGTCTAACCCCCTTCTCCTTTGTTTCTTGCCTAGGATGCGGGCATCGTCTATGCCTCTCTTTCCATCTCTAGCTTGACCATGCCAGGAGCATCTCTCAGCCACCATCTGAAAGGGAGCCCCCAGGAGGAGACCCTATACTCTGTGTTAAAGGCCTAATGAGTGGGACTAAATGATGACCTTCTTGGAGCAAATGACACTTGCCAATAGAAAGGATCACAGCTTCCAACAATAACCAAGGCCAGATGCAGATGACTCTGAGGCCAGTAGGTGTTGAAGGCCAACAGGGAACTGACACAGAGCAATCTACTCCAATTCCTGCTTCCGCTTCCTAGACCTTGCTCACAAAAATAAAAGTGTCTATAAAATATGCCTTAATGCATCTAAGAAGAAAACTGATGTCACCTTCAACTTCTGTCCTTCCCGCCAAAATTGAACTCTAATAGACAACTCACACCGAAGACCCCTCCTCTAGGACTTTCATTCAGTGACTGCCAGAGAACATAAATCCCAAACACTGGTAGCCACCCAGAACCCAAGGTCTGCCCCCAAATCTAACCATACTCTTCCCTTACCATAATAACCAGCATGAATTAGTTAGTGCTTTACACACGTCACCTCAGTGAACGTCACCAACAATCCTAGAGATATGATGTCCTCAGTGGAGGATGACAGTGAGAACCAGAATGGCTCAAGTGCTTTTCCCAGTGCTGTATAGCAAGCTAGTCAGTAGCTGAGCCAGGATTTGAACCGAGGTCTGTCTTCTTGATGATCTCCCAGGACTCAGGTCTTCTGCCTTCCCCAGATTCCTATACTATTCCCACCAGAAGCAATGCTATGCCACAGTGACACGGAGGAGGGAAAGAAGCCAAAAGGAAGCGTGTGGTTAGAGATAGGACAGACCATAGAACCAGTAAGCTGCTTTATTAACACATAATCTGCACAACTCTAACGTGAACCTTGGAGCCAATTAACAGCCCCGATACTCATCAACTTCTCAAGGATCCCACTGAGAGGCCCTCCCTCCTGTTCCTCAGACAAGAGGAGTGAGATCAGGAAGGGGCCGAGAGCACACGACTATTCCTCAAGGAAGGGCATGGTGAAGTCCTCGCCATCGTCTCTGGGCTGCGGCTCCTCTCTCTGCTCCAGCCCTTCTCCAGTATCTTCCATGAGTTGCTCCAGGTCCAGCTCACTGGAAGCTTCGTCTTCAGGGGGGGCACTTCCAGCCTCCTGAGGCAGTGGCTCCTGGGGTCTGGGCTCTTCTTTCCCTACCGAAGCACGGGCCCCACCACAAGCTGGTGGGCTCAGGCCCTTCAGCACCATTCTAGCTTCTTTTTCCTCAGGAAAGCTGGTTGCTGAGGCCTTGCTTTGCGGGGCTTTAAATTTTTTCTTAGGGCCTAAATGATGAAAAAGTGACAAAGTTGACTTCCTATTATACCAGCATATCCTTACCTTTTACAAGTCAAACTCCTAAATTCCTATCTCCAGGAAATATCTGGAAAAGATGACCTTTCTCAGTACCACAGGTATAGGCTTTGGGGTCAGAAAGACTTGGATTAAAGCCATGGATCAGCCGTATGTTCAACATGGGTCTTGATCACGTTTTAAACTCTTTGAGCCTCAATGTCCTTATCTTTAAAATGGCCAATATCCAGGGCCGGCCCGTGGCTCACTTGGGAGAGTGTGGTGCTGATAACAACAAGGCCATGGGTTCGGATCCCTATATAGGGATGGCCCATGGCTCACTTGGGTGAGTGTGGTGCTGACAACACCAAGTCAAGGGTTAAGATCCCCTCACTGGTCATCTTTAAAAAAAAAAAAAATGGCCAACATCCAGTCATAGAGCTATTGAAAGAATTAAAAGCAACACGCATGGAAGTATGTATCTAGCCAGCCCACTGGCGATGCTTAATAAATGTCAGTTCTCTTCTCACTACCATTCTCCTGTCCCTGGATCAAATCAAATCAAATCAATCAACAATATAGTGTGTGCCGTGCAACAATCTGAGAGATGCCCTTTTGTTCTTTCATTCTTTCTTTTAAGTAATGAAAAGCTGTAGACTTGTTTTTAAAAAGTGGTCTAAGGAGCAGAGATGTAGACATGGACCTAATTCCTCACAGTTTTTCACACATTGAGCATTACCTGGCTGGTCAGAATCTGAATTCTTCTGGCCTTCTTTCTTTCCCATTAAGAGTGAGGAAGGAGCTGTGGATTTGTCTCCCAGAGATCTCTTCATTATCTTCCTTTGGAGGGTCCCATCTTGTCCATCTGCCATTCCTGCATCAACCACACCCCCCAACCATGACGGAAATTTATTTCTAAGTGTCAGCTTGGCAAGGGCAGATGGACTCCCCACATTTAGCCTCTGCCCTGCCCCACATCTTCTGCTCATTTTCAATCTAATAAATTCTCTCAGCGGCCTCCAGTTCCCCAATCTTTTTTTTTTTTTTTTTTTAACCCCCGGATCTTCTCCTTCTCTTTATAGCTCTCCTCAGAGTCTGCCTTCTCTAGGTAGTCATCTTTCTTGGCTAAGAATTTAAAACCTTCCACCTTTAGCCTAGGATTACATAAATTTAGTACACAGGAGTAAGGAGGCTACAGCTTCCCTGCTGACACCCTGTTAGTCTTGCCTGTTTTCTCAGGTCCTAGAGCTGAGACAGTTGGTTAGGTCCAACTACCTGCAGACACCTTACACTCTCTGCCTCTGCCCTGTCTTAGCTGTGAAACAAGTCCCATTTTCAGCTGGCTCGCTTACCTCTTGGCTTGGGGTTTTTTGTCTGTATTTTGGCTGGCTTAGGACTGGACAAAGTTGGGTCCTGAGGATAGAAGAGAAAAATAAGAAAAAGATAAACTAAATCACATAACTATTTTTAATAGAGAGGGATGCTTCAGAATGATGGGTGGGCCTCGAGGAGTCCATTTAGGTTATGTGAGCCTGATAACTGTTAAAATCGATGGCAACATAGAGGAAAATATATGGTCATTTCGCATTCTGTTTGGTATTAGTCAAGGCAAGACTGTATGCACAAAAGAAGGAAATAAAGATAGGCCACAAGCATGACTAAAAAAACTGGTAAATTAAAAACTAAAAGAGAAAGTAAAAATCTATATTCCATATACCCGGAAAAGAGACACTAAGAAAAAAAGTTAATGCATATCCCAAGTGTCCACATAGGGAAGAAAGAAGAGTGGAGACAAGCAATCTGTTATTCTCTGAAATTGCTCCAGGAAGAACCAAAGAAATACAGTAGGAATTGAGATTATAATCAAGAAAGAAGTTCCTAGAGATGTGAGAAATTAGAGAGAATGACGAGGAAAGAGGAGAGCTTCCTTCCCTGCAGACCCCTAAGAGATAAAATCAGCCAGTTGGGGCTACCACTAAGCAGATCCCTACAGGAATCTCCTAAAAGGAAACCCCATGATCCTTATCTAAACTAATTTTTAAGGCTAATCTTACTTTTTTCTCTTCCTCCTCCTCCTCCTCCTCTTCCTCCAGGCAGGAATCTGGGCTGTTAGCCCCAGAAAGCATTACATCTAGAACAGGAAAAGGAATGAAAGGCTAAATAATTTATCCAACAAAACAGTCAATGAGTTAATAGAGCTGATCCCAGAGAATCTGTCTTCTAACTACCTTCCTGTGTCCACGTGGTATTTTCTCCATAAAATGTGATCCCAGATCATCATGGTTCCTTCCTTTTCAAAGTGCATCACTATACAACATACACTCTCCCTCCCTCCCCCTGTCCCCCGCCCCATCCCTCTGTCCCCATCCATCTATCCTGGGTACTGGATCAATGACATTCATGAGAGCCTCCTATTACAGAATCCAGAATGAGGCCGATGCTATGGAATATAAAATAAAGAAAAGCTTGAGCTGTTGCCCTCACGAAGGAATCCCTCCCCTCCCTCTCCAGTCCTCATCCTCTAGTTATCCTACCTCTTTCTTCTCCACTGTCAGATCCATTGTATCGGCTCTGAAAACCAAACACGTTAACCCGCTCCTGAGGGAACCAAGAAATGAAAGCATTATCCACTATCCTCCCAGGAAAGGCTTTTGCTCTCTGTCTTCTATATTTCAGTTACGAAGAAATTTGTATTCATTTTCCATAACATTTTCACTTGAAAGTGTACATTAGGCTTATCTGGACTTTTATGGAGATTAATTAATTCTAATCTCTTTTTCCAGTGTATTTATACCTGTAATTCAGCACTCCTGTTTGTCAGTCAGCACCCCACCCCCACCAGTAGAATTTGAAAGTAAAAACAGACTCCACTTTAAAAAGAGGTTAGGGAGCATACATCTGAGACTTGAAGTTAAATAAGGAGGTAGGATGCTTCCCAACACAAACTATCTCTATTGGGGCTGAGAAAAGATCCCAATTGTTCAAGAGTAGGGAAAGGAATGGATGACTTAAGAAGTCAAGGGAATCTAGACTGGGAAGAAAAGAGTAGTTCTAAGAAAAAGACTGCTGGTTTTCTGCAGTGGGTATTGTAAAGTTTGCTTTGTACCCAAGTCCTGAAGAGGAGCAAGTATGTGGTCTAAACACTGTCCCACCTGAATGCTGATCTGTTCTGCCTCTTGAGCCATCATTAGGGCTGCACCCAGTTTCTGGCTGCAGTCCTTCTTCCTGCCCTTTTTCTGAAATAGAAGATTAGAGTGAATGATAAATACTGAGTTAAAGATTAGAGTCAATAATAAATTTTAGAACAGTGATCCCAAAATACTGCTACCCCCTAGACATTATCTTTAACTACATTTATTTCCACTTTCTAATATTGATATGATACTCCTATTTTTCATCTTTTGGGCTCAGACTCAACACCCCTTTCTCCCTAATAAACCTCTCACCAATTCCTAGCAATATTTTCAATCAACATTTTGGTGTCCTCTCCAACATTAATCTCATGGAAATTTGAAAAGAGAAGATTAAAGGAGTTCAGGTGATTCCACTTTTAAGCTTCTCACATGTTTCTTTAGATCTAGCTGCTTGATTTAATACTCATTGCTTGATTTTCTAAGGCCCCTGAGCTGCTGGGCCTCTGCTCATTTATAAGGCTGGTCAAACCCAAAGTGACTATAGGTGGGGAATCTGATTTAGCTAATCCAGTAGTTCTCAACGGGTGGAGATTTTTCTTCCCCAGAAAAATCTGGCATTGTCTGGAGACAATTTTTGGTTGTCACAACTAGAGGTGGGGAGTAGGTGGTAAGGGTAGGGCGTGCTACTGGCTGGATGCCCAGGGATGCTGCTAAACATCCTACAATGCATAAGACATCCCTCCACAACACAGAATTATCTGGCCTAAAATGTCAGTAGTGCTGAGATCGAGAAACCCTGAGTTAATCTTTGCCCTTGTTTCTACCACACCTGCTTTGGCTAAACTTTAGAAAACCTCAGTCGTCAAGAGGGCCCCCTATCTGCAGTCAGGGAAGGTGAGAAAAAAATTATTGCCCCACTGCAATCCTGGTAGGAAGAAGAGTCCCTCATAAATAACCTCACCCTTGGCAAACCTGGTCAGACATGGGACTTTCTCCCGACACAGCTTCCCCTGGGAGAAAATCAAGTTTAATAAAAGGAAGGTATCATTTTCCAGTCCCCTGTATCACAACAGACCCCCAAGGATTGCTCACCACTCCTGCTTGCTCCAAGGACAGCTCCTGGAAGTTCTTTAGCATGTTGACTGGGATCCAAGCACGAGAAACTGTTTCTCCAAAAAATGTCACGTGGTACTTAGACTAAAATAAAAGATGGTCCTGTTATGGCATCCTGTCCCTTCTCTCTACTTTTCTCTTCTAACCAGACAAGGGAGGAGAATGGGGGATTCACAATGAAGGTGCTGAGCCTCATGCTCACTGAAGCCTGAATCACCCACCCCACCTCCTTCCACTGTTCTTCCATTCTGACCTCAGGAATCCTAGCCAAAGCATATTTATAGAAACTATAAATGCTCTAATAGTGGATAAATATTTAATTAGGTACAAGTTTGTTTCTTCAAGTACTTATCTCTGTTTGTCATCCTAGTTAAGTGTCTGTTTCCACTCGTGTCTGCTGGCTATGTCTATGTTTCTAACTCTGTACATCTGTTAGGATGGATTTGTTCTTTACTTTGGCCTGAGCCCCTTCCTACCCCGAACCAGGAAACTCACCGGCAGGGAATCAAGATGAGAAGCAAAAAGAAAATATTCCCCCAGGTCAGGGTCAGATTCTATCATGCCTGGCCACCTGGAGAAGAAAGATGGGTGTGGGTGTAGGGGACGGAAGAGAAGAGGGTAGATGAATAGAACACGGCTTCATCAATATACATGTACAAAAAAGGGCAATATGCCTTGCAAAGGATCCAAAAGATAGATCCCAACCCTACCCAGCAGGCCCTACCAAATGACTGAAGTGACTCCCATCAATGTACACAAAAGCTCATTAATATTCCTAGTAAAGGTATCTTATCCTTCTGGGCATTCCCACAACCCTGAGAAGAAAATCTTCTGACTAGGGACATCTCCAAAAAAGAAACTATACCACCCTTCCTTTTTTCTCTTTACTTTGCATGTCTATCATATCTAAATATTTCAAAATGCCTTAGATCCACCCTCCTCTCTCCACCCACTCAGAGTAGCATTGTCAGACCCTTTTTTCCAGGGAGATACCATCTCCACCCTGAAAGCTCCAGAAAACAAGCTCTTTCAATGCCTCCAAGCTTTACCATCTCCCTCACCTCATGCTTTTTTTTAGGCAAGTACCATTTTCATTACAAATGCTTTCCATTTCCTCCCCTCCCTGCTTGAATCTACCACTACCAAGTTCATGAAGGATGCTCTATGTCACAGTGCCTTACCAGGGATAACCATATTGCTTGGCCCAGATGATTGATCCTGGGACGTAGGAGGCATAGGCCACATCGTTCTCACACCCTGTCCAGGTCTCCTCAGGAATATCACAATGATTATACTCTAAATCTGCCAAAAGAGAGAAGGAATTGAAGGGATGGAAAGAGAGCCATAAGGCAAAAAGCTGGATAAGGGCTGGGGAGAGGACAAGAAGGAACTGGTATATGCAGCAGGTGGGACCAAAAGGGCACCTGGGGGACAGCTATGGAGGAAAAAGAATAAAGACCCATGGAGGGCTGGCCCGTGGCTCACTTGGGAGAGTGTGGCGTCGATAACACAAAGGCCACAGGTTCGGATCCCTAAATAGGGATGGTCAGTTAGCTCACTTGGGAGAGCATGGTGCTAACAACACCAAGTCAAAGGTTAAGATCCCCTTACCGGTCATCTTTAAAAAAAAAAGACTCATGGAAGAAATGCAGCTAAATCCAGGAGAAGTAGGAATGCTACCTCCTTATACTCCATAGAAAGAGATTCCAAACTACTGTTTATATCCCATAGTGTCTGACTCCGTTCCCATCTATATAACGTCATGAGGATAATTTCCCTAAGACTGTTTTCTCATCTGTAAAATAATTGGCTGGACCAGATTGTCTTAATCTCTTTCAAGTGGTTTCAAACATTCTAGAATTCTAAGCTCACTGGATCTCTCTTACCTGCTTTTCCCCATATATCCCCTATTCCTCCCTATCCACCAACCCAATACCAATATCCTAAACAGAATTGATAGGAGCAGACCCATGCTGAAGAAAATGTAATTCACTCAGTACATATGTTTAGATTCCAGGCCCCTCCCCACAGCATAACTCTGCAGGGTGTCTTCCTCCAGCTCTTTATGCCCAGCTTCATCTCCATATGACATTAAGATCTTTCCTCTCTCCCAAGCGCAACAAGGACCCCTTGAGTGCTAACTATACTTATGTCATGTTTAATCTACAGGATACATGCAAGGGAAAAAAGGGAGAGATAATAAAACCTGAAAAAAAATTTCCACTCCTTTATACCTGTATTCTGGTCACAGGACCAATTATCTGGGAGAACTGAGGGATCAATGTTCCCACGTAACCGCCTCCATTTCTCACAGTTTGGGAAGGAACACTGGACCCAGACTAGGCACTGATCTGTGAGAGGAAAAAGGCTGAAGTAAGAGATTCAAAAAATTCTCTTCCTTCTTCAATCCAATTAAATCAATATAACCCTCCCACCCCCAGAATCTAAGGCCATAGAGACCTTAGAGATCAATTAGTCCAATCTTTGACTGATGAATGAGAGAACCAAGGCTCAGAGAAGGTAACTGACTTGCTGAAGATTGGTCTAACTTGGTGATAGAGCCCAATTGAGAACTCAAGTCTCACATCTCGATCTTTCTCCTATACCAGGCTATCATCTCTACCTGACCCAAAGCAGAAAGGAGTGTTTCCTGTATTGACAGTTCTCAGATAAAAAGGTTGTCTGGCATCTTTCCAGATAACACCTTATTTTCTCTGGCGTGACACTACTGAAAAATTCTTTTGAAGGACTAACAAGCACCTCTTTTGTGTACAACATTCATAGTTGTTACACAAATCTCAGCTGTCACCAAATCACCAAGTTGCAACATTTTGGACCAAGAGTACTGAGTTCACCCTCCTCACACAGGTCTATCATTTCTCCATCAACTATGCACTTCGGGCCCTGCTCAAAGGCCAAGCCTTCTATTTATACATTTATCCATGACCTTCCAAACCTCCATCCCCACCATTCTGTATCCCCACATCTTCTAAACTGACCCCATGTCCTACACAGACTCTCCTCTCTCTCCCCCAAACCCTTCCACTGTGTTCTTTGAAATTCCACAGACTTAAGCAACAAATGTTCACATATCCTCAACCTCTTCTTTGAACCTCTCCCTCCTTTTTGAAATCTGGAGATCAACTAATGAAACTGCCCCCACCTGACCCCACCCCTACCTGCAGCCCTTGAAGTGGAGACTGTTCCTTCTCACACTCCCAATGTCTCTCAGGACAGAAAGTGGGGCCAGCATCTTCCTTATTCCCATTGTCACTGCTCCCCTCCATCCTGTAAAAACCCTTCCTCCCTTGAGGTCCACTCCATGGCACTATACCACCCTCCTATCTCCCTTGTGAAGATGCTGGCATCTGGTTCGGTCTTCTCATCTTCTCCACCTCCTGCCTTTATTCCAGTTGATTACTATATCCACAGGAATATCTCACAAATCTCCATTCTCACAGTTCCTTGGCCTTTTCCTCCATAACACCTCAGGAACCCACTCCCACTCCTGCATTCTCCCCACCAGTCATCTGCAGGAACTGCACACCCTCTGAACCATTTATCCAAACATCCTCTCTTACAAAAATGCCCCATCCTTCCACCTCACTTGCTCAAAGACCCCTATAGCAATTTTCATTTTATCCAGCTCTCCAATCCACTGACCTCTACTTGTCTTCTCCATCTGCTAGCAACCTCCATTCTTCACTGTGTACTACTCGGATTTGATTCCTTGACACTTCTTTACACTCTCCTGCAGACACCTTCAATTCCTTTCCCTCTGTCCTTCCTCCCACCCAGATGGCAAAGCACCATCCTGAATGAACTCACTCTCTACCTTTTCTATGCCTACACTCATGCAATTGAGAGTTGCTAGAGAAAAATCACATAACCAGCACATAAGTATCACTACATATTCACAATTAACATCAACAGTCAGTATGTTTCTCTAACAAGTTCACTCTCCCACTGTCAAATTTTACTTTAAATGTCTGAAAATAAAAGATGTCCCCTGACCCCATCCCACCAAAATCATCCTTCAGAAAAAAAGTTGACTTACATTGGGTTCTTTCAAAATATCACATATTATGGGTCACTTTCTCAATTAATTTATCTTGAAGAACAAAGTGCTGGTTGGGAATGACATATTAGTCTGAAAAAACAGTTATCAATGATAGTTTTGGATATTTATAGAGCTGACTTAGCAAGACAAGAAAAAGAGTGGGGGAGGGACCAGGGACCATAAAAGTTAATACAGATCAATAAAATAAATGGTTGGCTGTGAAAGTAATGAGTATTCATAAGAAAATAAGTGAGAAAAAAATCATCCTAATGACATGGAACTGGATACTTATGGCTTGGGATGAAATTTCCAACGACAGCATCATACAGTTTTTGAAAGTTTCCTTTCAAACAACTTAGAGGAGAAGATAATGTACTCTGGAAAACTGTGTTTGATGCTCACAATGTGGCTCTAGGATAATGAAGACTGATGTCACAGACACATGTTAGGAGCATTTCAGTTGACCACTCATCCTTGAAACACTAGTTTCCTGGTTTCTGTGATATGTCATTCTCCTGTCCCACCCGCCCCCATGCCCCAATCTTTCTGGCAGCTCCCTTCTCAGTCTCCTTTGCTGGGTTCTCCTCCTTCTTCAGCCAATTTCTAAATGTCAGGGTTCCAAAGCCCAATCACGGGCTTTCTCTCCCAATGCTACACACTCGCGTGAGGCAGGCAAGCTCACCATCCCCATAGCTTTGAAATCCATTTTCATAACTAACAGCATACAGTGGTATACTTCCAGCCTCTGTTCTGAGCTCCAGATTCCTATAGCAATCTCGCTCTTTGACATCCCTATTTGGATATCTCACAAGGATCTCAAACTTAACGCACCAAAACTGAATGCTTGATCTTCCCACGAATTTGTTCTTCCTCTGCTCTTTCCCATAACGGATCAAGCCAGAAATCAATCATCTTTGACATATCCTCTCCTCTCTCTCACCCCGCAATATCCAATTTATTACCAAATTTTGACAATTTTATGTCAAAGACTTTTTTTTTTTTTTAAAGATGACCGGTAAGGGGATTTCAACCCTTGGCTTGGTGTTGTCAGCACCACGCTCAGCCAGTGAGCCAACCGGCCATCCCTATATAGGATCCAAACCCGTGGCCTTGGTGTTATCAGCACCGCACTCTCCTCAGTGAGCCATGGGCGGCCCACCAAGACGTATCTTAAAACCATCCATTTCTCTCTCTCTCCTAATCCAAGTCATCAAAATACCTAATCCTAGGGCCGGCCCGGTGGCGCACTGGATAGTGCGCCGCTTGGGAAGTGCGGCGGCGCTCCCGCCCGAGGGTTCGGATCCCACATACAGACCGGTTCCCGCTCACTGGCTGAGCGAGGCGCGGGAGCAACACCAAGGGTTGCAATCCTGTTGCCGGTCCCCGGTCCGGTACGGGGGCAACACTGAGGGTTGCAATCCATTGCCGGACACAGAAAAAGACAAAAAGACAAAAAAATAAAATAAAAGGAGAGTGCATTCAAGTCTCTCTCTCTTTGCTCCATGTGAGACCGCTGTGGTACTGTCACCACCAATGCTTTCACCAGATATGTTCCCTGGACTTTGGATTTTCCAGCCTCTGAAATTTTAAGCAATAAATTTCATTTTCTTTCTAAATTACCCAGTTCCAAGTACTTTGTTATAAGCAACAGAAATGGACTAATACA